ATTTCTTGCCGTTTTTATCTTTTTGTTGTATTTCAACACATTGTTTTCTATCTTTTAGATAGCTATGTGTCCAGGAGTAAGCTGGCCCTTTTATACCATAAGCTTCAATTTTTTTTTTTAAGAGAATATCATGACCAACACTATCAAATGCTTTGCTCATATCAAAGTACACTGCAGAAATAGGTATTTTTCTGTTTATATAATCGGTTACGATTTTTATATGGGAAAAAAGTTGCCTGTGTCGTAGATTTACCTTTTTGAAATCCGTGTTGTTCAGGTTTTAATATGTTAAACTTATTAAAAAAGTCTAAAAGTCTTTTTTGCATAACCTTCTCATACAATTTTGATAATATTGACATTAATGTAATTGGTCTATAGTTATTAATATTATTTTTGTCACCTTTTTTTATGCAATGGTATAACAACGGATAATTTCAATTCTTTAGGAAAAATTCCCGCTTCAAGTAACTTATTAATGAGAAAACATAATACGTCTATGATTTTTCCTGGACACCTCTTTAAAACTTTTGTTTGTATTTCATCACAGCCAGCAGTAGATTTTGTGTTTTTAAGTGATAAAATATGGTTCTTAATTTCCGTTATATGTATCACATGGTCTTAAATAAATACTAGATTGATTTCTTAGACTAGTTACGCTTATTTTTTTTATTGTATGAAGTTATCCTTTTGTAATATATAGGGATATATGGAATAGACTTCAAAAGTTGCAGATAAAAATGTCAAGCCCGGATAAATGAGGAGGGATGGTCCCGCCGGAGAGTGAGTGTATTCGGTGGACTAGCACACCCATTTGCGCCAGAACCTGCGCAGTTGAGCGCTGTACGCGGAGATGACGGAGTCCTGGAGTATATAGTGGCGAGATGCAACACGCCCTCTTTCATCCAGATTTTAAGCTAAATGGTGGCCCTATCTGCTAGCCACAGGTAGGGAAATGGCAAACGCCCCATCAGAGGGTCGCAGGTGAGGGACGTGGAGGCTGCCTTATTTCCCTGTAAAGGCCTATTTGGTGGTAAGGGCCATGCTGCCGGAGCAAGCGACAGTCTATTCGGGCAGTGGGGATGGGTCTTTTCAGCCCTATCTGCCAGCTGGATCGAGCTCCTGATGTTGCGCTGTGAGCCAACTTCTCGTCCCTATATTCCTCCGGTTATCTCAACACCTTCTTTCTTTCTTCTTTTTGTTTTAAAGTGGGGCGTTTCAGAGGTGCGGTCTCCATGGAGGGTGGGAAGCCGGGGTTACGAATTTTAAACAAGTATATAATAAGGACAATTCAAGGTCCATCAGAAAAGAGCTTACCAGAAACATCAATGAACAAGTAGGAACCGCCATTAAACCGACGGTTTCACAGATTACATCATTAAGCGTAGGTGGTCCCATCAAGGAAGCAATTTCCACGATGAACGTTCCCAAAACTAGTTCCAAACTTGAGGAGCTAGACACGAGAAAGAAGCATTGGACCGCGAGTAGCAAAACTCCGGCGGAGCCCCAGAGAATGGATGACCTTTCCTCTGCTGACTGGCAAGTGGTGAGCCGTAAAGGGAAGTGCAAAGCACCCAAAAAAGTTACATGCCGACCTGACGGACCATCTAGTGGGTTTCACCCAGCAGGCAGTGGTGTAAAGGCTAAGAAAAAGAATGAGAAGCAGCGAAAAAAAAGCCGTAGAGAAAGGGCCGCACTGGCTGCTTCTAAGAGCAACACCAAGGAGGCTGGGCAAGAAACTGTAACTGCGGTGCTTGGGGCTGGAATCAGTAGCTGCGCTGAATCCGGGAACCAGCTCTAAGATATCTGGCAGGAAGCAGCGAGCGGCCAAGCGTCCTGGTAAGAAGGAAAGCGCAGCCAAAAGGATGCTGGAAGAGTCCACCTCGCCAAGAGGCGAACACAAAAAAGTGCGACTCGAACCAGCTACGCTTCAACTGCTAAAACAGATTTGGGTGTGGCTTTAAAGTATGCGCGTTCAGGTTCCAGAACGATGGAAGCAGCCGACGACGTCCTCGTGACAATACAAAGAAGGATGATCAGCGAGGCCTGGAGTAGCCAGGACACTGATGCGTCGAGTCCAATTTTTAGAGGCAAACCCGTTTATACGGAGGGTGTCCTGATGCTGTGTAACGACGATCAGAAGGCTCTGGATTGGTTGAAGGGTAACATTGCTACCCTCGACCTTAAATCCAATACCTTGCCGATCATCAAGAATCAGTCAGAGATACCACAGAGAATCAAGTGTGCCTTACTCTGTACCTTAACCCTGGTACCCATAGGGCCCGGAAAGGCTCGCGCGACTTCGGTCGTGTGCTGGCGTATCAGAACCACTGGGTAAGCATCAGGGATTAGCTGTTACTCAAGGCTGATAAGCAGACGGACGGTAGTTCCTCTTTGTTTCGGTGCCGAAGGATTATAACTCAACCCATGAGAGCCGGACGTCTCATGTGTGTATGTGGGGCAGTCTACGTAAAATTCCAAGGTCGTGGATGAATTTTTTTGATACTCCACCGAGCAAAGAGTCATATAACAACCCTGAAGTGTTGGATACCAGGACCATGGCTACCGATGCAGCGGAATCACTAGATGTCAAGTCCGTCAGTTGAGCCGAAGCTACCAAAGTAGAAGTAGAAGAAGTAGAGCGACACTGCAGCTATATTATGGTTGGGGCACGAATGGGTTGGCTCAACCAGGGAAGGACCACGCTTGCACAGAATATCAGCGTAAAATAGCTCAACACTGCTGTGTTTCGTATGGTAAGCGTAGAGAACCGGAGACCCATTTTACTGGAAACAAGGCATTCCATCTTAGTCCTCACGGGTGACAACGCATCTGCATTTTGATTTATAATCGAGGATAGATGTACATGTCTATGGGCCACAGCAACCACTTACCATCAGGTGGACTGTATGCTCGTTTTTCACCCTTATCCTATAAAACAACAGATCTGGCTCAGCGGCAGCTCACTGAATGACGAAGAGGATTGCATTTTGCAGTCCAATTCCGACTCGGTGGCTGACGATGAATCGCGCGACCTGCTGGCTCGCTTATTTTTGGGTGGGGACGGGGAGGACGCGATCAATTATGGCGTGCCCTTCGTCCAAAACTAGCCTCGTACAGGCCAACCCCGTGACCAGCCTCCACAGTGAAACTGCGTCGGCTCAATTACGCAAGTGGCAATTTGGAACGTTGAAACTTTGAACATATTGGCAATTCCAAATTGGAACACAAAAGTGCACGTAATGCTCTTTGGCGGGAAACTACGTAAGTGGGTAAAGGTAAGAGGAGGAAGGAGGTATGTACCCAAGCTGACATCTAGCTAGAAAGTTGTCCTATCTTGTAAATAAAACAATAACGATAAATTTAGCTTTTATTGTTACTTTCACCTATCGCTTAGCACACCACTAACACATCCAAGTACAGCTGACTAGTTTACACTCGATAGTTTACAATAAAATGGCTTTATTAGAAAAAAAAAAACTGCAACACTAATGAACTTAAACACATGAACAAACATTTAAATTATTATTGCTTATGATTATGAATCTGATGAATATAAATTAAGTTAATTATTGATTATCAAACGATAAGTAGGCTTCATTATCAATTCTGTAGTCGTATGTACGATCTTTTTCACTAACACAACCTCATCTAAAAGTGCTCCTGGTGAGCAATAAAGGAGGCCCTGACTGTAAAGGACAAAATGACAAAAAAAAACAAATTACTTAGACAAACATAGAAAGATGGGATGGGAAAGGAGGTGGCAGCAGCATCTTCCTGATAACAGCTAAATAAAATAAACAGAGGTTGCCAACCCACTTATGAAGCATGGCAACTATGGCAATAACACCCCTATATATGCTCAATCTATTGGGGAGGCCTATGTTCAGCACCGCTCATCTTCCTTTGTTAGTCTGAACCCAATTGCCAGCCCAAACCCAGTAACGGAACGGGGGTCACGACTTTCATTCAGTTTAGTATGTCTTCATCCAGTTTAGTATGTCTTCGTCTTCTTTTTTTAGTGCAGTTTTTATCATTCGCCAATGTCAGGGTGAAAGTGTTTATTGAGTAGAATTTCTCAGCAGATACAAATACTATGCCCATGTACAAAAAAAAAAGATTGTGATATATACAAGTATCTTATATTTCTTTAAATCAATTTTCCCCCTTTTTTTTGAATTCTAATGATCATACTCTTGAATTACCTAGAACACATGATAAACAGTTGTTATAGCTACATTTAGTATGTATGTCTAAAAGTTGGTGGTCCATGGTAAGACTAAAATTTGATTGAATGGACTGGAATGGATTTGACCATCACTAAAAAATTATGAACCATTGATCTGAAGCCTGAGGGCTACTATAGAGGACACAAAGAAACAGTTCACCCAAATGAGTGACTTATAATGTTCTTCTTTAAGGTCCTGTGACTGAAATATTTTGGATCATTGAGTTATATGTACTACGTACTAGAGAAGCTATTCCAAACAAAAAATGTGCACTACTCTACATCCGCACATGCGCGGGAAACAGTTGAGTCGCGCATGCGCAGTTGATATAAACGCGCGAAAATTGTCATAATAAATAATTGTTTACTTAGATTGTATTGCTAATCAAGTACATTTTTGTTGATTTTCGTTTATTTTGTATATGTGCTTATATTTAATATAAAATTATTACTAGCGCCGCTCCGCACTGCATGGATATCGAAACCACAATAACAGGTGTACGGATCGCAGTACAGTTCAGTTGAACATAGTGAGTGTTCGGAATGCCATATCTAGTGTATAGTACATATATATCGAAGTTTTGGATGTAGTTCTAAATCGTTTGAATCTTATGAGAAAGTTTTACCAAATTTTTATTAGTATGCTAAGAATTAATTATACTGATAATACGCGTCACATGTGATTCCACATTTAAAAGCAGTTGTAGTAATCAATCCAAAAACCTCGATAAAGCCATTGATATTGTATATTGATCTATCGAGCGAAATCCATCCCTCATTTGGGCTTAGTCTCTTGGTCGGTGACGTATCTGATGTAGATAATATCCTCCGGCTTCGGATCTTCGATTTGGGTCTCGTCCAGTTGCGAACAGGCGATGGCTAGGGCTGATCCATCGTGGGAGAAGCTGAGAGATGACACCACTGTGTTGTACCTGGAAAGACAAACAGAAAACCAGAATTGGTGAAAAGCCTGAGAAAATGAGAAAACATTCTTAAACCACCACTTCTTAAGTAGGTCCCTTAAGCAGAAAATACGAATTTTTAGGCACACAACTGTGGTAACCACATTTAATAAATTTTCCTAATTTCAATCAACTATAAAGCAAAATTCAAACAACTAAAAAACACTCTCACAGGAAAATTCTATGACAGTCAAACAGACAATAAGACAATTTTATAAGTGTCCCGTTTCTCACAACAATTAATATCAATTGTAACTTGTCAATTTCTGTTTCATTAAATTCTGTTCAAAGATCTACAGAGTCCTAAAGACTGAATAAAGCATCTTACCTATGAAATTGACAGAGTCGTTTCTTGTTGAAGCCATCCCATATATTCACATATCCATCGGAGCCGCCAGTCGCAAATGTGTTGTACACTGAGTGGAAGCTGATCGCATTAACCGGGTAAATCTTTTCCAAGCCTGAAATAAAAATGCAATACTTATGAACATACGTTTTTTTTAGTGCACCAACTTAAAAAGAACTTAAAAGTTGAAGCCTTATTATTTTATATACCTTCTTATAAAATAAGTATATATGTAATAGATTACACAAATGAATCATAAAAATCGGTTGTGTAGTCCTCTGAAGCAATTGCGCACTACAAAAATACAAGCATTGGGGGGGGGGACAGAGAACCATCCTTTTTTTAAATTGGTTGATAAAATAAAATATTTACCCCTCAAGCACTATAAAAATCCCGAGCGCTCGCAAGCAACCGCACCCACCCACAGCACTTAAAACCATTAAAACTTATATTTAGAGACTACTTTTCTATGAAGAAGTTTATCATTATAAAATATATACAAAATTCTCTATATCTTGTGGTCTAAACAAAAGTCAGGTTTTACTTCATTACAAAAAAGATTTTATTATATTTTGATAACAAAAAAAATATACCAAGCGAATGTCAGCATCACAATTATTTCAATATATATTACTCGAAATTATTTACATAAAAGATAAATTATATTCATACAAAAACTTTCATTACAATTTTATAATAAGTTAAAATGTATTGTTAAAATGATAGTAGATATATTCGATAGTAGCCTGGTTAGATTTAAAAGAAATTTACGAGTCTCTCTTAATATTCAATGTATTTGTTATCTGTTTTATTTTTGCTAAGACTAAGGTTACACTGCAGTTATATTATTATGCTGTGTACACTTTTTTTGGAGTGTAGTTTAGATCAACACAAATATACTTTTAATTTTAGAGATTTATATAACTACTGTCTATCTGTGTACCTTATTCAATAAAATAAAATAAAACACTAGAAAAATCCAAAAATCAACACAATAACATTCAGGCGAAAATGGCGTACGAAATAAACGCAGATTATAAATAAATATTCATAGGATAACAGTTTTTTTATTGCACTATAGGATTAGGTATTTCATATTGATTATATAATGCCAAACTTCTTCATAGAAAAGTAGTCTCTATATATAAATTTTTATGGGTTAAAGTGCTGTGGGTGGGTGCGACCTCATGGGACCGCTAGGTATTTGGCGGAATATGGCCACGGTCTCATGAAACCGCTTGGGGGTTGAGAGGTTAATAAATATACATACATAAATATCATAGCTCAATTGAGTAGTAAGCTGAAGTGGCAAAAGGCTGGTCATATAGCTCAAATAACTGACAACCGATGATAAAGAAAAGACTCTCAAGCTGCAGCATTGTACTGGTAAGAGAAGTACTGGCAAGATAGTAGGACGACCCCCTACTAGACAATGTTATATTTCAAAAATGAAAAAATTATGTGTGTGGCAAGTCTTGAAAATTTTATGGCTTCCCACAAATGGTAAAATAACTGTCAGAATTAAAACACCCAGGACAACAATTAGAAACAATATCAAAGGTTTTTATTTTTGTAGGTATTTTTTAGACTAGATTTTTAATGGACTACAGTGACAAAAAAATCTAATTACTTACTTATAATATGATGAAGTGTATAAATTCATGATGTCATAATAACTAGCGATCCGCCCTAACTTCACACAGGTGATTTTTGGATCTCACAATATATGCATGTTATATATATATATATATATATATATATATATATATATATATATATATATATATATAATCCTTCTTCTTGAATCATTCTGTCTATTGCTGAAAACCGCATCAAAATCCATTGCATAGTTTAAAAGATCTAAGCATATAGACAGAATGATTCAAGAAGAAGGATTATATATATATATATATATATATATATATATATATATATATAATCCTTCTTCTTGAATCATTCTGTCTATTGCTGAAAACCGCATCAAAATCCATTGCATAGTTTAAAAGATCTAAGCATATAGACTGGGGGAGCCAACTTTGTTTTATGCTATGTAGAGATGTAATTAATATTAAACTGTTATTTCACTTCCACTTACCACCATCTTTAATCCTATGACATTTGAAGGCATACTTTTTCTTCTGTACTTCGGGATTGCTGTCGAGGTACTCCACAGCCACTCTGCCTTCAATTGAACTGAGGACATAGCCTTGTTTATTGGGAAAAACTTCGTATGCATCTTGTCTGATACTTGAGCGATGATTCTCGTCTTTGATTCACATGACCCATGTTTCGTACATCCCACACAAAGATTTTACGACCAGATGTACCAACTACAAACTTCTCACCGACAATACTCATTGTGTAAACCTATACAAAAAACACCCATTGAATGCCTTTATTAGTAGTTAAAATAAAATTTGTTATCTCATTATTAAAAAGTAATAAATGTAAACAGATTTTTTAATTTATCCCTTGAAGTATTATATACTATACAATATAGTACAGCAGTTCACAAACTTTAAAGAATATAGAAAATTTATTATATTTTAAAGTACCCCATATTTGATGATAACAAATGGTACTGTACTACATTGTAATTTAAATCTGCAATTATTATACTCTTTAGGCTTTATTTTCTTTACCTTCTCTGCAATATTCCAAATTAATATTTATTAAGATAGAATACCTATTCAACAGTCAACCAATTTGTAATCACAAATGTAACTAATGGAAGTCTCATTCATTGGAAATATGAGCCTTGACTAACTCTTAAATATTCTACTTCATGCACTATTTGTACTGTAAATTAACTGTAGAATGGATTAAATACACTCATTCATTCATGACAGCTTATAATCAAGTCCACAGCTGAACCAAGGCATCCTACAAGTTTGCCTCATAAAAATCATAGGGGGAAAACCTATGCACCTCTTACGGAACCTTTTTACATATGTACAGGATAACCTTTTTAAGTATGTGACACAGAATACAGAATTTTTTTATGTGGTAAAGTTGCTATATTTTTGTTGTAGTTGAATGGGTCAGCTCAAATGGGAAAGGACCACGCTCTCAAGGAATACCAGCATAAAATAGCAGCTCAACACTTCTGTGTCCCGTATGGTGAGTGTAGAAACTCGGAGACCCTTTAACTGAAAAAGAGGCATTCCATCTTAGCCCTCACAGGTGACAATGCATCTGCATTTTACAGTAAACCCTCGTTAACACGAACACGAAAAAATCAGACAAATAGTTAGTGTTACAGGGGAGTTCGTGTAATCCGAACAATGCAAAAGATGAATTCGTGTTTCTAAACTCTATATTATGATTCATCATAGAAACATTTTTATTAATAACTTTGATATTATTATTTTATATTTAGAATATTTTTTTTATTATAAAATTTCAGCTTAACATTATTATTATTTTAAAATTTGAGGTATTGTTTCTATTTTTAGGTACTCGCGTGAATGTTTGATATCCTTTCCTTTGTCTAATTTTAGAAACTCGAGTTAATGACTTTTCTAATCTCTTCAGCCATTGTTTACCGGTATTTGTATTGACCGAAAAAGGACAAAAATATACGAAATACATGATTTGGGAATTTTTATAGTTTGTATTATCCGATAATTAACCGTGAAGGGACGAAAAAGTTGTTCGAAGTTCGGATTAACGAGGGTTCGTCTTAACCGAACATAATTAGATTGAAGCTTATGGAACTATTGTCTAGAGCAAATTTTTGTTCTCCTTAAACCAAAATTCGTGTTAACCGTGTTCGCATTAACGAGGGTTTACTGTAATTCATAATTGAAGATAGATGTAGATGCTGATGGGCCACAGCAACCACTTACCATCAGGTGGACTGTGTGCTTGTTTGTCACACTTTTCCTATTAAAAAAAGATTAGATTAGAGTAGATTCTCTTATAATGCTAAATGCACACAAGTTAAAAAATATGTACTTACCCTTTCATTTCCTTGGTTGTATGTACCAACACAATTAGGAACACGGCTGTCCCACATTTTTACTGTGCCATCCCAACCACCTGTTAATACTGCATTGACCTCATTAGCAAACTCTACACAACGAATTGCCCCTTTGTGTTCACCAAGAACTGTTTCAGAACTTGCATTCAGATCATACATCTTAAGAGTCTGATCTAGACCTCCGCTATAGGAGTGTACAGCATCCTGGAAATGACATATGTTTTTTTTTAAACCACTTTCTATTTGATTTTATTTGACCTAATCATTTTTTTTACTATCAATACACAAAAAAATTAACACAGGCAATAAGATTCTGTTTTCGTTATTGATAAAACTTTAAGTTTTTAGTTTACCCTAAAACAAACGTCGAGAACCGGCAGTTCGTGGTTATATTTATGCCTTTCGATGTTCGCCGTTACATCGTATAACCTCACGGAGCAATCCCACGACGATACAAGTAAAAATTGATTGGATTTTGGCGCAAATTTTACACTGGAGATCGCGTCCTCCGGTAAGCTCTTCAATTTAAATTCAGTGCGGGACTCCGCAACCCGCGTTACAGTCATTGTGGAAGCAATTTTGTTAAGCAGTTTTTAAACTATTTTGAGATGAAACTAGGCGAGTTTTTGGATAATATAAAAGAATATATGCTTATAAACAAACATTAGCCTTCATACATCACGAAACCTTTTCGTTTTGGTCTTTTGTCTTTTGGTTTTGGATTCAGACCAAGACCACCACAGAACACTAGAAGACCACAATCACAACACAGGACACTGGCAGAAACTATTAACTTCCAGGTGTATATAATGTACTCTGTGCTATTTACTATGGGTATGGCACCAAAGAGTATAATAAGTTTAAACAGGAAAGTATGGAGGTTAGAGAACAGGAGAACGATCGCTATAGAAAATAGTGTTCCAGAAATATGGATAAAATAAGTGAAGTGCTGCGATCGCTAAGTTGTCTCAATTATTTTAATTATAAATATTACAAATTATTACAAATTTAAATTATTAATTATTATTGATTTATTAAATAAATATCATTTTTTATAATATTTCATCAATTTTTAATGTTTCGTTTTGTCAAAAGTTAAAAAATTACTTTGCAGACACTACTTACCGACGGCAGCGCGGCTGTAAATTCTACAAATTTTCAGGGACAGGCGAGCTATGCTTTAGCACGTAGCGATCGTTCTCCTGTTCTCTAACCTTCATGGACTATACTATGTCCATAAAGTTAAGTATTGGCAGAAACCAAAGATATTACAATATACTTTGTATAGAACTAAAATATCTTTGGCAGAAACAGAGCGAACTTCCCATTCCTGTTTTATTACTTTACTATACTCTATGGTTACAGAGGAATATGATATTTATCCTGCTACATATCAATTTATCTATGCTATTTATTCTCAAATATATATTTTTTTGCATTTTAGTAAGTAAGAGAGCATTTTTTTCTGCCAACAAATTGCTGAGCAGCTTGCCAGACTAAAAATGTAACTGTGGGAGTTTTTATGTTAAATAAATAAATAATCTATAATTTATCTATATCTATAATAGTCATAGTAGTATATTTACGCTAGTAATTCTTATTAGATATAAATATGTTCCTTCCTCTTTGGACAGAACATAATTTAAGCTCTCGCCAGAGAGTAGTATTGTTACGATCTTAAGGTTCTGCTCCAAAGCTTCGCTTGTGTCGCCAAATTCAATAATTCCCCGATCGCATCTTGCAGCACCTATAAATACACATTAGCACCGAAACATCCAGAACATTCAAGTAAATACGCACAAGGCGTCGAAAGTTCGAGTGTCGGCTTCTAGAAGCTTAGTTTTTCGTTTCGACACTAAATGGCGCTGTCGGTTGAAAGATTAGTGATGTCATTTTCTGGAAAGTCCCCCCCCCGCTCTCGTCCCTGACACAACATGACGTCAACTTAGGCGCGTAACAGTATGTTCCTTGATCTAAGGAAACTTCATAGAGGAAAGATAGAGCGTTATTGTCATGGGTTATTGTAAAAATCGTTGTCTTTGTGCAGCATATCGATACGATATGTTTTATTATGGGTCAGGGCTGCCACATACTGAACATACGAAACACAGCAGTGTCGGCGCACGTCATCGCGCCTCGGCCAAAATGATGGACGCGTGGGAGCGCGGACCGGTCGCTGACCTCGCGGCAGCGCGAGCGCTTCTGTACCTCACTCAGCTGCGAGACGCGGTAGCAGACGGGCACTTTATTTTTCAATTTATGATATGTTTGTTTAGAGGTTTTACGACATTAAACCTATTGTTAATACAGTCCACTCATTTTATTTCTAAAGTCCCGATAAGGCCTAAACAGCAGAATTAAGCTACTGTTGACTGAAAGTAGACACCTTAATTTAACCGGCGATCTCTGCGGCGGCGTCTTCTGTAACATTAAATTTCATAACATGTTTTCAGTAAGTTAATATCAAAAGCTTAAACGGCACAATTTGTGAATAACTTGTTGTTGTAAACTTACGGCTAGTGGCAAATATCGTATTTATGAGTAATCTAATATCAAAAGCTTATATAATCTGAACAATTTGGAATAAACAGGTTGTTTTATGATATTAAGGCTACTGACAGACTGTATTATAAAGATGCATGATTCCAGACTGTACCTTTTTTTAAGTTTAAGTGTTTCTGTTGTCAGTATAAGTATACACACTAAACAATGCCTTAGTGCTTTAATCTTTTTTTTTTACTCGCTTGTTACTTATCTTAAATTTTACTACTTCTAGGAATATCTGTAGTTTAGTTTATCCATTTCTAACCTAAATATAATATATCCAATATTATTTAGAAACAGACAGAAAAAGTCGTAGATTGTGGATGTTCTCATTCGTTTTAGCGAGATAGCCATATAAATAAAAGAAAAAGAAGCATAAAACAGATACATAACAATAATTTTGAAATAAGAAAATCGTTTTAAATTAGTTGGCGATATTATTTTATATTATATCGATTTTCATCACTACCAATAACTCAAAAACTATTTATTGAAAATTAAAGTAACACAGATTAATAAATAAGTAGCAAGCTGACATTAACTTGAAGCTTGAACGCACCATAGATAAGTGTATATAGAACGCACCTTTAACTTTATAATTGACATGTTTGTGATGAGGTGTGAAACAAGAAATCAAGGAATCACCGTTTCGCTGAAATGTATTCACGAAAGTAGTCTTTTGCATAAATATTTGTGATGTTACGTATATTGTGCATATTATATACAATATTGTTTACATGAAATAAACCACCGTAAACAATACAATAGTGCCTCAATAATATTCTAAATGCCTACATTCGCTCTGCGCAGCTGAGTCGCACTCCGATATATACGAATGGAGTGAATTATAATATAAACTAACGATGCAAACCAACCTGAAAACTAAAGAAATGTTTATAGTACGAGCTTTGGAAAAGATTTTAGCGGATAAGGATATCAAAAGATCCTATCATAATCAGCTGAAAAAGTCCTGTGAAGTGGCTCTTGGTAAGCTTTCCACTTTATGGTATAATACAATAAAAACCTATTGCAAATTGCAAGTGTAATTTTATATATATGCCTTCTACTAATTTAATTATGTCAAAATAAATTTACTTCTATTATCAAAAGGCTGTTATGTTGTGACCTTGGTAAAAAGTGGGGATAACTTCTCAAACTCAACCAACCTTAACATTATAATTTCTATGATAATTATATATAAGTAACTTGACAATACCTTAATTATCATTCAAGTATCATACTTTTTAATATTTACATTCATTGGGAAAATGGTTAATTATTGGCCTAGTTTTCATTAGGAAATATAATGTGAAAGCAAGGGCATATTTACATATTAAATGTTTAAGCATAAAATAAGCATTAGCTTATTTTTGATTTTTGTAACAAAAGTTGGATGTTCACATTTGCTGTAATCAATTCATATACAGTTCTTATCATTTCAGTAGTTTACATAGAAACTACATTAGCATTTCAAGATAAATTTTTAATTAAGATTTAAGTGCTCTCTAAATAGTAAAATGGTATTGTTAATATATTAATAAAACTTACATTCCTAAGACTACTTAATTTGTCATAGTATATCAGCTAAGTATATAAAGTTTGAGAGGTTTTTGATAATGTTAGTTAATATATACCTACAACTTACAACATATTTATAGTTAATATTAAAGTTATTATTGCTACAATTCTCAAAGTAATATCATCAACCAGTGGCATATTTACCAGCAGGCTTAGCAGGCTCGAGCCTAGGGCGGCAGATTTTTGGGGCAGCAAATTTGAGGCTAAATTTGTGTTATGTCTTACACAAATTAAAGAGATTTAAATTTTAAAAGAAGAGCTGAAGAAATATTTTCGTTCATTATTTTTTTCTTATGTAGAAAAAAAGGTGGCAAACAAGCAGACATTCCACCTGATGATAAGTGGATGCTGTGGCCCATAGACATCTACATTTAGTTTCGATTAAGAATCAAAATGCAGATGCGTTGTCACCCCTAAAGACTAAGATGTAATGCCTCGTTCACAGTAAAAAAAGTCTCCGGATCTCTACACTCACCATACGAAACACAGCAGTATTAAGCTGGTATTCTGTGAAAATGTGGCCAACCCTGGTTGAGCCGATCCATTGATGCTACAACCATAATATAGCTGCAGCCTGGCTCTACCACATAAAGCCACACTACAGATCTCGGAACTCTAAAACACTTTTTCGTTCCTTGCTCTGCCCACTCTTTACATTTAGTGGCAACTGCGGCTGCTTAATGTTGCACAAAAGCTTGTCGCTTTTTCATGTTGCTTCAAAAAATCTATATTTTTTTTGTAAGTACAATAAAACACTTGGAAAAAATAAGGACTTAAATCAAGAAAGGGAAAACTCTGAATTGAGTAAATCTGACATGTTGGTCAGAAGTCCTTAAAACTTTGGAACAAAATGGTATAATAATACCGAGAAGCCTGTAACGCGAAACAAAGCGACAGGAATACTTTTGAATTCAGAAAAACTGAAAATGGCGGTTATGGTTGTTGTGTGGAAAGTTAAAGTGAATGTTCAAATTTAGGTTTGTACCGCAGATTTGATCTTTACAAATCTTTTTGCAAGTTTTGCGTAGCTAAACAAGAAGATTTTAAGTATTTCGAAGAAAATGCGATGGAATTAGTAAGCATGTCGAATCAGTATACAAAAGACATGGGGTACAAGACAACTGAAAAGTTAAAAAAACTCAAATACCTAAAGACGAAATGAGCATAACAAGGAGTGATATTATCAGGGATAACATATTTCTCTTCCTTATTGATAGACTCGTATCCGAATTAGAAAAACAACAGAAGGTCTTCTACAGATTCAATGAAAAGTTTTAGTGTTTGAGAAAAATTAGTGAATTGTTATCATCAACTCTTGGCAGAAAAAGGTCTTTTCCTTGAAAGAAATGAATTCTGATAATTTAGAAACAGATTTCACTAAGACTTTTCTGAAAGAATTTTGGTGAAATCTGATTCTGGGTCATTGGAATTGGAAGATAGACATCTTCATTCCTGCTAAAAGAGAATTTGCAAAATGTTTATCCAAACTTTGATACAGCAGTTTGCATGGCTTTATGTAGGTACACCAGCGACAAATTGTTCAGGTGAGAGAAGCTTTTCTTGCTTAAAATGGATAAAAAATTATCTAAGATCTATCATAAGATAAAAAAAGCTAAACACCGTAGTGCTTTTGTGCATAGAGTCAGCTAATGAACAAGATTTTGCGAATAAAAAATCGCTGCAAAATGGAATTACAATACTTTCATAACTCAACTTATTGAATTTCATCATCGTCAGCAGGATTGTTACTAGATAATTAAGTATATTGTTTTTAAACAGTAAGTGCAATACTTAATTACCCCACCTTATTAGTAATACATGATTGAGCTTTCACTAACTCAGAAATATACCCAGAAACTATTTCTTGTGCAATGTTAACTAAATCTTTGGGTTGTAAAAATAACCTAAGAACTGACACATCGATCCCCTAGTTCACACTCATACTAATAACGGCAAAAAGGTGCTGTAATTAGGAGGATAGTGCACGAATCATAAACTTACAATTTCATTGACAAAAGAATTGTAATTAATATGATTGTAAACTGGGACTAGGGTATCGAATTGTAAAAGTCGGTAGGGGCGGCAAAATTTGAATAGCCTATTGGAGGCTAATGTGTAAATCCGCTATTGTCATCAACAGTGTAGCTAAATAAACATTGGTTTGTCAAAATTGCATAAATATTTAATAAAACAACAATAAAAAATGAATTAGTAATGCTTAAGAAAACTATGTTCTACATAATTTTATAAACTCACTAGTCCAACAATTAAATGCAAATGAGAAGTCATATGAGGAAGTCTTGTGTATCGGAAATGTAAGCCTTGACTAACTCTTAAATATTCTACTTCATGCACTATTTGTACTTGTAGTGTAATAGACCTATTGTATGTAATAATGTGTAAAAAATTATAGTTAAATAGTACTACACAACTTGTTACTTTGTATTTGTTTGTTGTCTTTTTTTATATAGATAGGGTGACAAACACGCTCACAGTCCACCTGATGGTAAGGGGATGCTGTTACCCATAGATATCTACATTTATCCTCAATTTGGAATCAAAATAAAGATGGGTTTACATCCCTGAGGACTAAGATGAAATGCCTTGTTTCCAGTAAAAAATGGTCTCCAGTTCTCTACACTCACCATACGAAACATAGCAACATTAAGATGGTAGTCTGTGAGAAGTTGATCCTCCTCCGGTAGAGTTGACCCATTCATGCTACAACCATAATATAGCTGCAGCAAGACTGTACCAGAAAAAGAATCTCAAATACCTCATATGTCTCAAAGTCTTGCTTGTGTATGTCTTAAAGTTTTATTTTTTAATTTATGTTAACCAAGTAAAAAGAACTGATCTTTTATAATATTTAGATAGATTAAGTAAATAGTATTCCATTATGACTTAGAAATGATTATTACCAAAAGACTTGAAAAGGGTTTAAAAAAAGTACCTATGATTTGCAATAAACTGTTTTATTTATGAATATGATTGTAACATTGTTATTCACATTGAATGAAAGTGGCCTCCAACCTAAAAGAAAGAAAAGAACCGAAAGAACCGGTTCCTTGAAAGGGACCGGTTCTTGATGCCCTAGGGTCTATATCTATATTTAAATAAATAAAATAAAATACCTTACCTGAATTGTATTATTTTAAATTGAATTTTCAATTGTTTCAGAGGAAATAAAAACAGAATTGAAAAATGGAGGGCAGCCAGATTCATCAGAAAGTCCATCGTCAGGAACACTGCCACTACCAAAAAATGATGCCTCAAATGTCATCACGGCTGAAAAGTATTTTTTGCCATTTGAGTTGGCATGTCAGAGTAAAGCATCGCGAATAGTTGTCACGGCTTTGGACTGTCTACAGAAACTTATTGCATATGGGCATTTAACCGGAAACATTCCTGATTCAACTACACCTAGAAAGTTGTTAATAGATCGAATTGTAGAGACAATATGCAGTTGTTTTAATGGTCCACAGACGGATGAAGGTGTTCAACTTCAGATAATTAAAGCTCTTTTGACTGTTATAACAAGCCAACATGTAGAAGTCCATGAAGGCACAGTACTCCTCGCTGTTAGAACTTGCTATAACATCTACTTAGCTAGTAAAAATCTTATAAACCAAACCACAGCAAGGGCTACTCTGACTCAGATGCTTAATGTTATATTTACGAAAATGGAAAATCAAGCATTGGAATCTGAGACGAATGCCAACACTCAAATTGAAAGTCATACTAAAATTTCTAATGGTAATATAGTATCCGATGAAGGTGCTGTTAATCATGTAAGTAATGATAATAAAGATAACACTCCTGTACCTGATGAACCTGTAGATGAAATGCTAGAAGCGAAAATTATCGCAAAACAAATAGTCGATTCTGTGATTGATAATGCTATCACAATAGCTTCAAAGAAAACTGAAGATGATTCCAACCAAAACATACCAGACAATAATGAAAATCCCTCAGACTCTCAAGATAGTGTAAGCGTATCTCAGGAAAGCAGTGAACAAATACCAAATGAACCAACGATTGCAAGGATACCATCACAAGAGAGTGTAGATGTTGCTTCTGAAAATGACAATTCAGTCACGGCTAAATTTACACATATTCTTCAAAAAGATGCATTCCTAGTTTTCAGAGCTCTTTGTAAACTCTCAATGAAACCTCTACCAGAAGGTACACCTGATCCTAAGTCACATGAACTGAGATCAAAAATTTTATCATTACACTTACTTCTTTCTATCTTACAAAATGCTGGACCTGTGTTTCGAAACAATGAAATGTTTATAACCGCCATAAAGCAGTACTTATGTGTTGCCCTATCAAAAAATGGAGTCAGTTCTGTGCCAGAAGTGTTCGAACTCTCACTGGCGATATTCCTTGCACTTCTTCAGAATTTCAAAGTCCACCTCAAAAAACAAATTGAAGTGTTTTTCAAGGAGATTTTTATGAGTATTTTGGAAACATCCAGTTCTTCATTTGAACATAAGTGGATGGTGATTCAAGCACTAACTAGAATTTGCGGTGATGCGCAAAGCGTTGTAGATATTTACGTTAATTATGATTGTGATCTTTCAGCAGCTAATCTATTTCAGAGATTAGTGAATGATGTATCCAAGATTGCGCAAGGTAGACAAGCATTAGAATTAGGCGCCACACCTAATCAAGAAAAATCTATGCGTATTAGGGGCCTTGAATGTCTAGTATCAATTCTAAAGTGCATGGTAGAATGGAGTAAAGAACTTTACATCAATCCTAATATGCAAACAACATTAGGTGAGAGAACGGCAAAAGAAGATTCCGATCATCATAGTATTAAATCCCATGGAGGCTCCAGTCTTAGTCTGATTTCAACAGGGTCTAGTAATGTTGGTAATAGAGAAACATTAGATTCACCTGAGCAATTTGAAGTTCTGAAACAGCAGAAAGAAGTTTGGGAAACTGGTATTGATCTTTTTAACAGAAAACCTAAAAAAGGTGTTGCATTTTTACAAGAACAGGGATTATTGGGAACATCTACAAAAGAAATAGCTGAATGGCTAATTAATGATGAGAGAATCGATAAAATATTTATAGGAGAATATTTAGGCGAAAATGACGATCATTCTAAAGAAGTCATGTATGCTTATGTAGATTCTATGAATTTTTCTAATATGGATATTGTAGCAGCATTGCGACATTTCTTAGAAGGATTTAGATTACCTGGTGAAGCGCAAAAAATTGACAGACTTATGGAAAAATTTGCGGCCAGATATTGCGAATGCAATCCGAACAATACGTTGTTTATGAGCGCCGACACCGTCTACGTATTAGCATTTTCCATAATAATGCTCACGACAGATTTGCATTCGCCACAAGTCAAGAATAAAATGACAAAGGAACAATACATCAAGTTAAACAGTGGCATTAGTGACAACCATGATCTGCCTCGTGAATATCTGTCGCAGATTTATGACGAAATTGCTGGTCATGAAATTAAAATGAAAAATACGTCAAAACCAGGAAAACTTATGATTTCTAACGAAAAAAAACGTAAATTAGTATGGAATATGGAGATGGAACAAATATCCACAGCTGCTAAGAATTTAATGGAATCCGTATCACACGTTCAAACGCCGTTTACAACAGCCAAACACGTTGAACATGTACGACCAATGTTTAAAATGGCGTGGACTCCGTTCCTTGCGGCCTTTTCAGTGGGGCTGCAAGATTGTGACGACACGGAAATCGCTTCACTGTGTTTAGACGGAATAAGATGCGCCATTCGTATTGCTTGCATTTTCCACATGTCTTTAGAAAGAGACGCGTATGTGCAAGCCCTTGCGCGATTCACCTTACTTACGGCGAACTCACCAATAACGGAAATGAAGGCGAAAAATATTGACACCATAAAAACTTTGATTACTGTAGCGCATACGGATGGAAACTACTTAGGAAATAGCTGGTTAGATGTAGTCAAGTGCATTTCCCAACTCGAATTAGCTCAGCTTATAGGCACAGGAGTTCGACCTCAATTTTTATCCGGATCGGGTATTAAGCCTCAGCCAGATTCATTGAAGTTTAGCCTTATGACTTTAGACCCAAGTGTGAAAGAACATATTGGAGAGACCAGTTCGCAAAGTGTTGTGGTAGCTGTTGACAGAATTTTCACGGGATCGACAAGGCTCGACGGTGACGCAATTGTTGACTTCGTTAAAGCCCTTTGTCAAGTGTCACTTGACGAATTGAGTCATCCCACAAATCCTCGAATCTTTTCTCTACAAAAAATTGTTGAAATATCATACTACAATATGGGTAGGATTAGGCTACAGTGGTCGCGTATTTGGCAAGTTCTTGGTGACCACTTTAACAAAGTAGGCTGCAGTAGCAACGAAGATATCGCCTTCTTCGCCGTTGACTCCTTGAGACAACTTTCGATGAAGTTTATAGAAAAAGGCGAATTTGCTAACTTCAAGTTCCAAAAAGACTTTTTGCGACCTTTTGAACATATAATGAAGAAAAATAGCTCTCCTACAATACGTGATATGGTTGTGAGATGTATTGCGCAAATGGTGAACTCTCAGGCTCCAAATATTAAATCTGGTTGGAAGAATATTTTCTCGGTGTTCCACTTGGCAGCAAGTGATCAAGATGAAGCGATCGTTGATTTAGCATTCCAAACGACTGGAAAAATTATAACAGAACTATACGAAAAACAGTTTCCTGCAATGATTGATTCTTTCCAAGATGCAGTCAAATGTCTTTCTGAGTTTGCCTGCAATGCGAAATTTCCCGATACGTCCATGGAGGCCATTAGATTGGTAAGATCTTGTGCAACAGCTGTTGGGGCATCTCCGCAACTTTTTGCAGAGCATGCGGGACTAGAGGGTGAACCTGGTGCTCCTGAAGAAGACAGAGTTTGGCTGAGAGGGTGGTTCCCACTATTGTTCTCATTGTCATGCGTCGTAAGCCGTTGCAAATTAGACGTCCGAACTCGAGGACTCACAGTCCTATTTGAAATTATTAAAACACATGGTGATTCATTCCGTCCGCATTGGTGGAGAGATCTGTTCAATATTCTGTTCAGAATCTTTGACAATATGAAATTACCTGAACATCAATTAGAGAAGAATGAATGGATGACTACAACATGCAACCACGCGTTGTATGCGATTGTCGACGTCTTCACGCAGTACTTCGACATTCTTGGTTCTCTCTTACTTGAACAACTCTACGCCCAACTGCATTGGTGCGTCCAACAGGATAACGAGCAACTAGCCAGGTCTGGCACGAATTGCTTAGAAAATCTAGTCATATCGAATGGAATGAAATTTAGTGAAGATACCTGGAGCAAGACTTGTCAGATCATGCTGGATATATTCAACAGTACATTGCCTACCACCTTACTTACATGGAAGCCGGACGAAAATGACGATGGCGAGACTCCACATGTTCGTCACGGAATCTTGAAAAAACCGCAAGTAGGGGACGAAGCGAAATCCTCTAACCGAATATTTAATAGTCTTCTGATAAAATGCGTGGTGCAACTTGAATTGATTCAAACGATTGATAACATTGTCTTCTACCCGGCGACATCTAGAAAAGAAGACGCCGAGACGTTGGCTTTAGCAGCCGCTGAACTTACTGGCGGTACTCCGGGAGCAGAGCAAGAATGTCAGCGTGAAGAACAAGGAATGTATAGGCTACTTAGCTCGCCGCATTTGCTGCGACTCGTGGAATGCTTGATGTGCAGCCATCGGTTCGCAAAAACTTTTAACACTAACAACGCGCAGCGAAATGTGCTGTGGAAGGCAAATTTCAAAGGATCAGTGAAACCCAACATGTTGAAACAGGAAACTCAGTCGCTTGCCTGTGTGATGCGGATCTTATTCAAAATGTACAGTGACGAAGCCAGGCGGAATCACTGGCCTGCTGTACAAAAGAGTTTAATAAATATCTGTTGCGAAGCGCTGGAGTATTTCGTCGGATTGACCAACGAAGCTCATAGAGATGCATGGACATCTATTCTACTGCTGATTCTCACACGGATACTGAAGATGCCCGATGAAAGGGTATGTTTATTTCCTTTAATTTTATTACTATTAAGCCCTGCGCCGTTTTGCAGATGTGATAGTTGATTCTGTCTATGATAATACGTAATTATAGAAACTTTCATTACCATTATCATTACAGACTTTCACAAGTCTACTGTAAAGTATTACTAAAGTAGTAAAAGAGTACTAAAAGTCTCTGATTTCTACACTCCATTTAGTGGGGGGGGGCTATACACTTCTTTTTTATAGGATAAGGTTGACAAACGAGCACACAGTCCATTTTTTTTATAGGAGAGGGTGCTAACAGGCATGCGGCTCACCTGATGGAAAGTGATTACCGCCGCCCATGAACAACTGCAACACCAGGGGAATGGATGCAGATGGGTTACCAGCCTTTTAAAAAGTAGTAGGCTCTTTTCTTGAAGGTTCCTAAGTCGTATCTATCCGGAAAAATCTCCACAAGGAAATTGTGCGAGGAAGAAAACTTCTTTTAAATCGCACGGTGGTGGACCGCCAGTCATCCAGATGGTATGGATGGTATCGCGAGTTTTGTCGCGATGTGCGATGGTGAAATTGTGCGGCTGGAATGAGTCCGAACAATTTCTCAGAGCACTCCCCATGGTAGATGCGATAACATCTCTTCGCAGTGCCAGTGAGTCAAGCCGATCGGAAAGAGCGGCCATGTGCGGCCGTACTGCGCCTTGTAAAGTTTCAGGCGGTGAGCCGGCATGAAATACTGTCCCGCTCTGCTGAGCACGTCAAGCTTTTTAGAGGCCAATTTGGCCTTCTCTTCCAAGTGACCACAAAACTGCACTTCACTCGATATGTTTTATACGTGGTAGAGCCATGCTGCAGTTATAATAGTAGTATAGTTGTAGCACGAATGGGTCGGCTCGACCGGGGAAGGACCACGCTCTCACAGAATACCAGCGTAAAATAGTAGCCTAATGCTGCTGTGTTTCGTATGGTGAGTGTAGAGAACCGGAGACCCTTTTTACTGGAAACGAGGCTTTCCATCTTAATCCTGACGGGTGACAACGCATCTGCATTTTGATTCGTAATCGAGGATAGATGTAGATGTCTATGGGCCACAGCAACCACTTACCATCAGGTGGGTTGTGTGCTCGTTTGTCACCCTATCCTATAAAAAAAATGTCGACGCCGAGGATTCCGATACTGGCGGAGGCAATAAGGCGAGTGCCTTGAAACTAAGGAGATCGACGAAGGGGTTCTTTTTAGCGGTAATTTAAAATTCCACAAAATTCCAAATTCCGTAAATAAAATTCCACTTGATGGTAAGTGGTTGCTGTAAGCGCATAGACATCGACGTCTATTCTCGATTACGAATCAAAATGCAGATGCATTGTCAGCCGTGAGAGAGAAGATTTAATGCCTCTTTTCCAGTAAAATGAGTCTCCGGTTCTCCACACTCCCCGTACAAAACAGCAGCGTTAAACTGCTGTTTCGCGCTGGTAATCTGTGAGAGCGTGGTCCTTCCTCGGTCGAGCTGACCTATTCGTGCTACAACTATACTAATAATATAGCTGCATGTCTCTCCCACGTTACTTCGTTTATAGTTCTTGCAATTCACGAAGTCAAGCGGGTTTTTACTTCAGAAGCCAATGTGTGCGTGAGGCCAAAAACGGGGTGGTTAGTGATGGCTCGCTCGCAACTGATCACTCCGTCAGACACGCATACTATCGCAATGTGATGTACATGTTCAACCACAATAAAAGGCCGCTAAATTTCATTAATTGCAAATAACTACCGGTACAAAACCGACACTCGAAATACTTTCTTCACCGTCAGTTGTCGATCCTTCAAGCTAAATGGCCGGCCAATTGCCACTTCAGCTTACTAATCCGTTGCGCTATATCGATAACTCTGGTTCTACTGTAAAAAATTAAAATATAAAACTTTCTAATGTTGTTATTTGAAGAAAATTACTTTTCGGTTTTATGAAAAAATATTTCACCAAATGGTACAAATCATCTCTTGAGACCACACAATTTAGTGATTTTGCTTCTTTTATCGCGTAACCAAAGTTAGACTTCTTAGTCTTTATAATACGTACAATTATATAATTTTCATGGTTAATAACAATTATCACGCTTTTGAATCGACTCTGGTTTTACTTTTTGATAAATTTATACTATTTTAGACTATGATACTATTCTTTAAATACTTTCGATTTTTAAGGTTTCCTTTACATTTATTTCAATATTAAAGATTGAACTCGCATGTCTTGCGTACGCCTAATTTTTTATATTTAATATTAAATTTGATTGAGAAAAAGGCTCAGTCCTCCTGATGATATATTCTTTCTAATACTTACAAATTCAAACAAAAAGATTACAAACCGCCACAAATGCTTTGTCTATTTGTCAGTCGAAATGACTCAAATGGAACGTCGCATCGTTTGTCGTAATTCTAAAAGTATTTAGAATAGTGTTAGAGCTTTTTTTCGTGTCTGACACTAAACTACTTTGCGTGCTTGGATATGCATCTCTTTCAACAGTTTAATAGTTATTACATTCGCGCGTTACTTTGAGCGTTATTTTTATTATAATACAAATGTTAAAAATTAATTAGCACAGAATAGCAACAGTTAAAATCAGTAAAAATAGATATTAACTTAATGATTTCTTATATTTACGTGAACACTACTCATTTCAATATTATTTTCGAGCACTAATAGTATACGCGATAAAATCCGTGAAAACTGGTATTAGATATTAACTTATATATCGTATCTACCGATTCCCGTCTAATTCACAAATATTCGAAATATAAGTAAAATTGAAGTTAAAATGTTTGCTTTGTTTGTCCGGGTTAATCTAGGATATATTTAAAATAAATGGGATAATTTTTGAAAAAAAAAGAAACAAAATATTGATAAAATAAATGGTTTTTAATTAAAATTCTTAAACCTAAATAAAAATACAATCATTTATCCTGCCCACGCGAAGCCGGGACGGGTAGCTTGTTTACAATTAGTCCATTCCACATATTATACAACCATATTCAACTGTGTACATCGGAAGTTAAAACACGCGCCTAACATCACGTCACATATAACAATGTGTTAACAAAAGGAAACGTCTATTTACGTCGACGACGTTAACTGTTATGTTTATGTATGATATTGCATCGATGGTTCAAATTTTTTATTATTCATTCATCACCTAAAATATAAATGCATTTAAAGAACCTTCTAGTAGTACTGTTGCATATATGGGCCAGTGACGCTTTCCGGTTATAATCAAGTGAGGTTTTTGCCTATCGGACCCTTAATATTCAGGTAGATTGACATGCAATCAAACTATTTTCGTAATGCAGGAAAATCCTACTTTAACTAGCATGTAGAGAACCAGTGAACTCGTTTTAGTAGAAAAGAAGCATTTTATTTTAGCCTCAGGTGTGACAACACATCTGCATTTTGACTCCTAACCGAAGATAGATGTAGATGGCTATGGGCAGAATCGACTTACCTTGATGGTACTTACCAAGTGGACTGTATGTTCGTTTGTCACCGTCATTCTATAAAAAGCGTGACAATTTAAGGCAAATCTTCCATACAACGTAAACTTTTTATATGTTAGAGCCACACCACGCTGCAGCTATAATATGCTTGCAGTACGAATGGTTCGCCTTAATCTAGATAACACCACGCTCTGAGCTTAATGTTTCTGTATTTCATATGATCAGTGTTGAAAACCAAAGAACCTTTTTACTGCTAAGGAGGCATTCTTTCTGAGTCACTAAGGGGTCATAACGCTTCTACATTTTGATTATTATGAGATGTAGATGTTTATGGGCCACAACATCCACTTACCATCAGGTAAACTGTATCGTTTGTCACACTTCTAAAAAAATACCACAGAGAAAGTCCCACGTCTAGCAAAGGACTTTAATGATGATGATGAAGTATAAGTTTATAGATTCATAGTCAAGATTCTAGGAACGTTATAACTTTGTTTTGCAGTCATGGAGATAAAGATTAAAGGATAAACTAAAATTGTTATTATTTGTGTTCAGTTTGCGGCACACGTATCCAGCTACTACCCGCTTCTGTGTGAGATCACATGCTTCGACCTAAAGCCGGAGCTACGCACTGTACTGCGGCGCGTCTTCATACGCATCGGACCCGTGTTTAATATCGTCAAAATGCAATAATAAGCTTATTATTTTAGTTTACAAACAGAATGGCCTTATAGTTTCATAGGTTAAAGTATGACTTTGTTGTTAATATTAAAAATAACAAGGGTTTGGGTGTTCCTACAGGGAAGTCGCCTCGGAACATTCCTATTGACGCGCGTTAAGAAAAACTACATTCATAAATTCCTTAAATTTTATTGTAACATTGACAGCAATCAGTACTTCAGTAGTATTATAAATGATCTATTATACATAGTGTGTAGTAGCCTTATTGTCTAATTTATATTATAAATTATTGGATTATCAAAGTTAAAAAATTAAATTGTATAAATAATAGACGTTATACCAATAAATTATAGTTTATTCTGTATATTTGAAACTTACCGTTTGGGGGGCTGACATCACTCTTACGCTAACTGCTTCACAATTTTCATTTTTTTGCTAGACTGATAAAACTGTGATTGTGAATTTCTCACAGCTTTTCTTCTATTAATCGTTTTCTTAATGAGTGATTTCAGAACTCGCATGCAAACTATAACGTCATTTTGGGTAACTTTGAACATTTTGGAAACTTTTCTTGTGTAGTTTATTTCATTTCTTTGTCAACCATATCATTTTAACTGTTTCCTTGTCTGCGAAAAAGGCAATAGTTAAACGATCGAAAGTTCTATATATTTCAATTTTAATTCCTTATTCAAAATACTGTGTTAAAAGTTTAGTGTCATTTAAACTTAAGAGCAGTTTTGGGTAACTTTGGATTCAACACAACAATGATAGGTAAATCATTGTTTTTATAAGATTTTACAGAATTATTAAAATTGCACACATATTTCACACAACACTAAACATACTATAATTACATGGAAGAATGTCGGCCATCATATTGTTTGTAAGGTTTTTGATTGATTAAATGCTGTTAATTTCATTAAACAATATTTTATAATGAGTGTTCTAAATAATATTCCTATTAACATCCGGTTTTTAAATGAGAACAAAATCAACTTAAACAAACAAATAGAACATCATACTCGACATACAATCTCAACGATGATGTGTGGTCAACAAATTATTTTTTCATCTACTTTAAGATCAGAAATACTCGGAAATAAACTTGATACATACCACAAATTTCAAGTTACCTGGCTTAAATTTTATTTTAGTAAATACTTCAAAGTTAGTTAGAATTTATAATGACTCATCACATAATCTTATTATCATCTGTATGAGAAAGCAAATAAATGAAAATAAAATTTTAATATGATACAATGTCATGTTTTATTATCAAATAGACTCAATACTTTCTATTTCACTTAAATGTTCCTGTTATTAAGAAGATGGATAAATAAATTAAAATTATTAATTATTTTATTTTCAATGTTACCCAAATTGACTGTATTACCCCTTATACAATAAATAAATAATAAACATTTCTTGAGGTGTATTATTAAGCGATTTTGAGCCCTTCAATAGATTTTTCCAAAGATTCCAAATCCCAAATGACCAACTGACCATCCAATCCAGAAGTGCTAAACTTTTTAGCATTGGCCTTAGTTCCTTTGTAAAGGCTAATACATGTTATAGCATTTTGGTGGATTGAATCCAGATAAGTGTCGTTTGTTTCAATCCGAGCTTGGCGATCCAGCGACTGGAACTTTTTCATAGCTGACAAACCTCCAGACTCCTTTCGTTGAGTATTGTCTAGCTTCGCAACAAAGCGCAACTCGTCACCATCATGGCAGTACAGCAATGGAATGCAACTATGTCCTGCCACCAGCAGGGAATTAGTAGAGATCCAATTGCATCCCAAAAATGGCAGGTATTCAGTCTTGAGTTTAACCACCGCTTTTCCTTGGGTAGCATCAGCTACGTTAATAGAGCTGTCATGACCCACCCAAGCTACTTTATTCCCGTCAGCAGAAAATGATACACTATGCACCCAACCACCACCAGAAGCTGAGTTAGGAAACTCAGCCAGTAATTGACCCAAGGGTAATTTTGAACCCCAAACATTTGGTCCGGGTTGATCTTCTATATCTTTGATATAAGCTGAGAAAACTCTGACCTTGAAGTCAGCAGATCCGGCAACAAGAAGTATGTTGTTCGGATGCCAATCCAAAGTTGTTACAGTGGACCGAATTGGTTTCTTGATATGTTTAGAGACCCACCAGTTGTTCTCCTTTTCAAAATAACAAATAGAAATCAATCTAGCTCCTGATCCGACGGCGAATTTGTTTTCCATTGGCGACCATTTAACACAAGTTGCTGCTCGATTGATACGCAAGAGAACAAGCGTGGTGGTCCACTTGCCGTCATCAGCCTGAGTCCAGACGTAAGCGTTACGATCGACAGAGCAAGTGACAATTCGATTTGTGTTGGGAGCCCAATCAATACCCATTACCCGAAGATCATGCTCAACCAGACTGTTGGTCTGCTTCCAGTCATTTCCGTCTTTTTGGTAAATATGAACTTCATTGTTATTTGGCGAAAATGCTATTTCTGAAAAAAGAAAGAAAACCATGTTTTTATACAAAGACTACTTAAAAGTATTCATCTTTTTGTAAGTCCAAAACAATCTTTTGCTGGGCATGAGCCTTTCTACTGAAGAAACAATTGACTGCTGCCGTACTTGGCACACGGTTTGGCACCGGCAATTCGAAAAAAAATTATATCTGGTATATGTGGTATTTCACTAACAACCTGTGCACACTTCCGAAATTGATATATGGCTGCTCACTGTGGACTCAGACCTCCATTATGGAATGATTTTGTATGTAACTGCCATTGCATAGAAAATCCACTACCCCATAAATAACATTACAAATTAAATGTATGACATTCATAATGTTAAACATCTAAATACTACTGTAATTTTTTTTAATCAAATGACTTAAATAATACAATTTTACATGCGGGTTAACTATGACCTCAGGAAGTCTAACACCCCGCAATTTAAAAATAATTTAAATTAAATGTTTTCTAATAGTTTTATTCAATATGTAGCGTTCCCCTAATTCACAGCAAAAATGACTTTCAATAAGTATTATTTATAATCTTTCTTGAATAAAAAATAGCTACCAGTACATATTTCATTCTGTGGATGTGTTAAGAGGCGACAGTGGGAAATCAAAACGGGAGATTTGCATCTGCATTTGTCAGATAAAAATTTAAAATTAAAAGTGGGAAGTTTGTGCAGATCTCTAGACTGATGTTTAGATTTTATCAGAAAAGAAGAAAACTGGTTAGCTTAAAGAAAAATAGGAGAGGCATACAATCAGCAGGGAAACATTTATGCAAGCAGTAAAATGTATCTATCGCAGGCTGTAAAGTTGTTTTGGTATTACACATGAGTGAAGGTGAGGGATAATGTTAAGCATACATGGCTTTACAATAAATAAAAAATATGCTGGAATTTAAATTGAAAATGTTAATATTTATTTCATAATAAAAAAAATAAGAACATCTGCATGTCGGCAGAAAAGAGTGTCCAAGAAATAAGAGGCCTGTGCTCAGCAAAGGTAAATATAGACTTGTAACAGTTAAATTATGCAAAATAAAAGTAGTAGAAATGTGACTGGGAAACATAATGGGGATACAATCATATGAGTCAGATACTTCAACCAGGGAAACAGCAGCTAAAGGTGCAAGATGTCTAATCTTTTATCATGATAGAAGCCAAGCTGTGAACAGTAATGAATAAAACAAAACAAATGGTAAAATAAATAATAAAATAATGTAGTCAAAGTCAATTAAATACATTATTAGGGATAACTCAAAAACTACTGTTCACATCGTGATCAAATTCATATAGGACCACATGAGAAGCACCAGATTTCAAATAAAAAAAAAATCAAAATCAGTTCACCTACAAAAAAGTTCTGGGGTAACACATATAAAAAGAAATATGGATTGGATTTAGAATCATTTGGCAGGAATTTGGGGCAGTAAGGATAAAATTTGTAGCATTGGTTCACCAAATTGCCTGTCAAACGACAATATGAGGAAATCATAAGAAAAAAGGCTCAATTACAGCACTGGACCATTAACAAAATGATGAGGAACTGTCGCCTAGGTTCCCTGCATATTATTATTTTTAGCTGGCCAAAAACAATAGAAACAGAACAGAAACTTTTTTATTCAATATAGAAACAAACAAAACAAAAGTGTAACTTTCAATGATACTTATTGAAAGTTACACTTTTTTTATTTACCACTGGTTTAGAAAAAAATACTCTGTCCTGGAAAAAACCAGCAAGAAAAGCGAGGTTATTTTTTTAAAAATAACAGATTACAATGATGTATGTTACACAATTAACAATACAAAACAAATTAGAAATAGCTTGGTAGCAATCACCTTTCCCAGGTTTTTTTTTATAGGATAAGGATGATAAGCAAGCACACAGTCTACATGATGATAAGTGGTTGCTGTGGCCCATAGACATCTACATTTATCCTCATTTGCTAATCAAAATGCAGATGCGTTGTCAGCCATGAGGACAAGATGGAATGCCTCTTTTTCAGTAAAAAGGTCCGGAGACAGGTTCTCTATACTCACCATACGAAATACATCAGCATTAAGCTGCTATTTTACACTGGTGGTCCTTCCCTGGTTGAGCCAACCCATTCATGCTCCACTTACCGTCAGGTGAACTGTGTGCTCACTTGTCACCTTATAGTCGAAAATCATGGAGATCGTCCATCATTTAAAATACTGTTATATTAAGAAATTAATGATTGTCTGAATAACTGACAATTTTGTTTCAAACGAGATATTGATGGTATTTCTACTTATATTAAAATTGTATGTAACAAAGGTAATGTTTAAATAATGTTTAATTTAATACAACATTTACACAAATATCGTAGGCGGCGTGAGAGGAATCTATTAGTACCCCTTATGGGGAAGAGGGATACCCGTGGGTGTCGTAAGAGGCGACAGAGGGTAACTGAAATAGGAAATAAGCAGCAGAATCACCCTGTGAAAAGTTTAGTTTTTCACCTAGCACGTTGAGGCAGTATTCTTGCCAATCTAGTTTGCGGAAGATGCTTTCCAGAGCAGCCAAGAATAATTTTGGTGAAAGAGGGTCTCCCTGTCTTACTCCCCTCTCGTTCTTGAACTTTTTTCCCAAGGTTTCCAGTTGGATTCTCGCTTCTCCATTCATATAGATGTTATCGAACTACATCAATATCATAAATGATATTGATGTAGTTCGATGGTATCCCCTGCTGTTCTAAGCTGTTCCATATGACCATGTGTTCTATGCTATCAAAAGCTTTAGAATAATCAATTTTTTTTTAAAAAAAAAAAAAAAAAAAAATCAATGAATGCCATGTAGAGTATCTTGTTATACTCGTATTTTTCTACTATTTGTTTCGTTGTATGTATATGATCTAGAGTGGAGTATTTTTGTCTGAAGCCAGCTTGCTCCCGTGGTTGGTTTTCATCTAATTTTTTGCTTATTGCATCCAGAATAACTTTAGAAAATACCTTTGATATCAGGTTTATGGTTCTATAGTTTCCTATATCCTCCTTTTGTCCTTTTTTGGATAATAGAATAATGTTTGCTGTTTTCCATTCTTCCGGGATTTGGCTAGTTGTTAGTATTTCATTGAATATTGAAGTAAGTATTGGTAGTAGTTCTTCGAGGGTGCCTATTAGGAGTCGTTTGTCACTTTGTCTGGTCCTGGAGCTTTTTCCATCTTCTGGCTATATATAGCTTTTTCAATTTCTCTGGGAAGTATTTCCGGTTCAGTTTCTGGTTCTTTTTTGGAGTCAGTCCTCGGGTAGTGTTCTAGTGTAGGGTTTGAATAAAGGTCTTGGTTTTTTTTTATAGGAAAAGGGTGACAAGCGAGCACACAGTCCACTTGATGGTAAGTGGTTGCTGTGGCCCATAGACATTTACATCTATCCTCGTTTGCGAATCAATATGCAGATGCATTGTCAGCCTTTAGGACTAAGATGGAATGCCTCTTTTCCAGTAAAAATGGTCTCCAGTTCTCTACACTCACCATATGAAACACAGCAGCATTAAGCTGCTATTTGACGCTGGTATCCTGTGAGAGCATGGTCTTTCCCCAGTCGAGCCGACTTGGTAAAACTTTGTGGCTATTTTATTTATGCTTTTTCTGTTAGATGAGGTATATTTCTTTTTGTTTAGTTAGGTATCCATTCCTTGTTTGGTTCTCTCAGTTCCTTTAGTGCTTTTTTTACTCCTCCTGTCTTTACTATATGCCTTTCTATGTTTGCAGCCTCATTGTCTTTCTATCCTTTCTAATGTTTGCACTAATTTCTTTGCTTTCTTAATGGCTTTGACTACCTATTCCTAGGCCCACCCTACACGTGTCCCCCGCGTGGTGCTAAATGAGCGACAAGCCGATACCACAGACTCGGCTCCACGCCGTGGTAGCGGCGTAAAATATACTACCCCATATTTCGCACCATGAGGAACCATATAAAAGAAATGGCCCCGAGTTCCCGGCGCCCCTTTAATGGGGCAGGTGTGCGAAAAATCTCCGGGAGGAAAACCGGCGACTAGGTTCGCCACCCGTCACGTTCTGTCTCCCGGAGAGGCGAAAAGTGGATTGCAGAGGTCCGTCTGGCTACGTTGGATGTATGTGGGGCAATGAATGATAAAATGAAAAAAGTATGCGATATGCTATATGATAGCGGAATAGATGTGTTATGTGTAAATGAGACGAAAAGGAAGGGGAACAATGTCACTACACATCGCATGTATACCGCATACTGGTCTGGTGTAGACGAGATCGAGCGGGCATGCCAGGGAGTAGGTATCATCCTTTCAGAAAGAATGGGCCAATGTGTGAAAGAGTATGAATGTGTAAGCCCAAGACTGCTATGGATACGAATGAAATTGGGCTTAAAGAAGTTGTTTGTGTTAGGGGTCTATGCCCCAGATATGTCTAAGCCCACTTATATCCGAGAGCAATTTTGGGAAATGGTAAGGATGGTGTTAATGAAGTATAAGGGAAATGAAAATATTATTATGCTAGGAGATTTTAATGGAAGGGTTGGGGTGAGGAGGCTTGGTTATGAAAGGATATTGGGAACATTTGGTGATGAAAGTATAAATGAGAATGGTGAAAGTCTCCTCACTGTATGTATGGAAAAGAATCTTTCTGTGATGAACACTTGCTTTCGCCACAAGAGGATGTATACTTGGGAAAGAGGTGACAGAAGCATGATAGATTTCATAATTGTGGATGAAAGATAGAGGGGCGCAGTGGTAGATAAAAGGGTTTACCAGTGTAGGAACGGATCATTATTTGGTTTTATGCCGAATTAACGGTCTATTCAGGCGTTGGCGCCATCGATCATCTGTGTCTACCACTGCGTTACAGCGTATTAGAACAGAAAGGTTACAAGATGAAGGTGAGAAAAACAAGTTCAAATGTAGACTGAAAGAAAATATAAGTGGTTTGGATGAATTATGTATGAAGGAGTTAGACTTGGAGAATGTATGGCAAAACGTAAAGAAAGGTTTAGTGGATGCAGCTACCGAAGTATGTGGTGTTAGTAAGAGAAAGAATGAAAGGAAAAATAATACATTATGGTGGGATGATGAGGTACGTATGGAAGTTGAAGCAAAGAAGAGAGCATGGCTAGATTTACTAGCGACCAAAGCTGGTAATTCTGGCGGTAAGAATGATGAGAATGAAAGAAAAAGGGCAGAGTTTAAACGTTTAAATAAGAGAGTAAAAGAATTAGTTGAAAGGAAAAAGCAAGAAAGAACGGATAGGAATGATAGAAGAATATCGGTTAACTTCCAGGCAAATATTAAAATGTTCTGGAAACTCGTAAGAAATACCAGGGGACTTTCAAAACAGCCTAGATTGAATGCGATACGAGACGAGAATGGCTGTATCCTGAATGATGAAGTGTTGAGTCTAAAGAGATGGAAGGAATATTTTGAAAGCGAATTTATGAGTGAGGAGAAGTGTGAACTAAATGAAATAGAAATTCCGAAAGAAGATGAAAGAGATAGGGAGATAAGTATAGATGAAATAATGAAAGTAATGAAAAGCATGAAAGTATGGAATAACGTATGGAAGTTGAATGATGATATTGAAAGAAAAAAGGCAGTCTTTAGACATCTTAATAAGAGAGTAAAAGAAGTAGTTGAAAGAAAAAAGCAAGAAAGAACGGATAAGAATGATAGAAGAATATCGGATAACTTCCAGGCAAATATTAAAATGTTCTGGAAACTTGTAAGAACTGCCAGGGGACATTCAAAACAGCCTATGATGAATGCTATAAGAAACGAGAATGGCTATATTCTGAATGATGAAGTTTTGAGTTTAAAGAGATGGAAGGAATATTTTGAAAGCGTGTTTATGAGTGAGGAGACAACGTGTGTACTAAGTGAAGTAGAAACTCCGAAAGAAGAGGAAAGAGGTAGTGAGATAAGTATAGATGAAATAATGAAAGCAATGAAAAGCATGAAAGCATATAGGCTGCCCTATATGATAGAATTTCACTCGAAATGCTAAGGACAGGAGAGGAAGTCGTGGCAGGCCTGCTGCACACCTTGTTTAATTTATGCTGGGAACTGAAGCGGGTACCAGTAGACTGGTGCAAAGCCGTGATAGTCCTAGTATATAAAGGAAAAGGGTCGCAGCAGGACTGTAAAAACTACCGTGGCATCAGCCTTCTTAGCATTGTGGGAAAACTGTATGCTAAGGTACTGATTGAAAGGGTCATGAAAGAAACTGATGGAAAAATTTGGGATGTGCAAGCGAGATTTAGAAAGGGAATGGGATATACAGATCAAGTCTTTTCCATGCACATGATCGCGGAGAAGTTTTTGGCCAAAAACCAAAAGGTTTTTTGTGCGTTCATGGACTTGGAAAAGGCCTATGACAGAGTGGATAGGGATCTGCTATGGCAAACCCTGAACTCATTTGGGTTGAGCGCTGGCTTGATACAGGCATTGGAGTCTCTTTATAGGGACTCTAGTGCTTGTGTTAGGATCAACGGGGTCTACTCGGTCTGGTTTGACATCCATAAAGGTGTCAGACAGGGCTGTGTGGCTTCCCCGTGGCTGTTCAACCTATTTATGGACAGTTGTTTGCAAAATTTGAAAGTTGAAGAATGCGGTTTAAGAATGGGTGAGTTAACTGTCAAATACCTTTTGTACGCCGATGATCAAGTTATCCTTGCGTCGTCGGCGGCCGAGTTGCAAATTATGGTTACATTAATGAACAGATCATTAAAAGAAAGGGGTATTAAAGTGAACGCAAGTAAGACGAAGGTTATGGTTTTTGAAAGAGAAGAAAGTAATACGATTTGTGAAATAAGAATAGAAGGGAAGTTGATCGAGCAATTAGATGAGTTTGTATATTTGGGCTGCGTATTTAGCAGGGATGGGAGATATGATAAGGATATAGAACGGCGAGTGAATGCGGGAAATAGAGTAAATGGGGCCCTGCACTCTATTGTGAAGTCAAAATGTGTCAAAAAAAGGCACGTATGGCAATTCACAATGCTGTGTTGGTCCCTACTTTAACATATGGTAGTGAAAGTTGGGTGTGGCAGAAGAAGCACGAGAGTAGAATCAACGCAGTAGAAATGCGGTCGTTAAGGAGTATGTTAGGGCTGAATCTGAACGACAGGGTAAGAAATTGTGTAATAAGAGAACAGTGTGGTTTGCAAAATGATGTTGTGACCAGGATTAAGAAAGGAATGCTTCGGTGGTTTGGTCATGTGGAAAGAATGAATGAGGAAAGAGTGACAAAGAAAATTTATGTTGCAGAAGTGAATGGCAGAGTCGGAGAGGGACGTCCCAGGCGAAAATTTATCGACCAAATTGGCGATTTATTGAAAACGGGCCAAATTAGGAGTACCCTTAACCGACGAGCATGTATGTGTAGGTGTATGGATGTGAAGGAGGCGAGAGAGGTGTGTCAGGATCGTGCCAAATGGAAGTCTGTAGTCTCTGCCTACCCCTCTGGGTGACAGGCGTGAGTGTTTATGTATATGTATGTTATGTAATTTCTTTGCTTAACTTCATTATAGTTTTTAAGTTGTCTTTTCTAGGGTGTTTTGATAATAGGTTTTTCCTTCTTTCTATGAGTTGTAGGGTTGTGTGACTAAGTTTGTATTTTCTTTTCCTGTTATGATCGGCTTTGACTTTAGTTAGTAATTTTACTAGTTTTTCATATTTCCTATGAGTATCAGTGTTGCTCATGGTTAATTCTTCAGCTGATTCAAAAAGAGATTGTTTTGTTTTCTTTATAGTTTCTACGCTATGGTGTTTTATGTTGCATGGAGTAAAGTATTTTCTAGATTTCTTTGGTGGCTCTATCTTTATGTTGCTTCTTACCATGCCGTGATTTTTGTTGAAATTAAACTTTGCTATGGCCAACGTATTTGTGAAGGCTTTTGGATAATTAGTTGTTATGTAGTCAATTTCGTTTTTAGAGCTGCCATCAGGTGAAATCTATGTCCACTTATTCTTTTGACTTTTTATGTACATACTGTTTAGAGTATTAGGTTATGTTGCATTAAGAATTGAACTAAAACTTCCCCATGTGCACTTCTCTTTCCTTAACCATAGTTTCCCAAGACATATTCTTCTTTCCATTGCTTTGCTGCAACTTGAGCATTAAAGTCACCCATTAAAATAATGTGGTTGTTGGAATATCTTGTTATTGTTTTTGATAGTTCATTGTAAAAAAGTTGAGTTTCTGTTTATGATGCTTGTTCTGTCGGAAAATAGATTTGTATAATTGTCGATAATTTTTTATATCCTGGTATGACAATGTGAGATGAATGTGAAAAATGAGTTATAATATAATAAAATAAAATGAGTATACAATCAGAGAGACCAATTAGCTCTTGTATTTGTTATTTCAATGACTGTTTGATAACAAATCCGACTCCTCTATGTCCAGGTACTTCACCTTTTTGGAATTGCATATAATCAGTTTGCTCTTCGATCTTTTCTCCCAATCATCGCATCTCACTAATTCCCAAGATGTCCCAGTTTATGTCTTCGAGAGCTTTTTCTAGTTCATGTAGGCTTTCTTCAGTTCTAGGGGTATTCGTACTTATGGTTGCAATATTGAGTGTCGTTTGTCTTCTTGTTGTTAAAGGGTAGTGGTCAGTACTTCCCGTGGGGACCAGCCGTTGTGGGAAGTTTTTTGTTACTTAGTTTGTGTTGTTAAATATGGTTAGTATAGGTAATGTTTGTTTCTGATTTTCCGGGGCGATTATAAGTTTTTTGGACTATATATATATATATATATATTAGATTATAAGTTTTTACATTAATGAACTGGTCACACAAGAAAGGGGAATGAAAGTGAACACAAGTAAAACTAAAGTGATGGTTTTTGAAAGAAAAGAAAGTAAAATGTTATGTGAAATAAGAATAGAAGGGGATTTGATAGAGCAAGTGATGATTTCATGTATTTGGGATGTGTTTTTAACAGCGATGGCAGATATGATAAGGATATAGAACGAGTGAATGCAGAAAATAGAGTGAATGGAGCTCTACATTGTATTATGAAGAATCAGAATGTTGCAATATTTTGAAAATGGGCCACATTAAGAGTACCCTTAACCAACAAGTATGAATGCGTAGATATATGGATGTAAAGGAGGCAAAAGAGGTATGTCAGGATCGTGCCAAACGGAAGTCTGTAGTCTCTATCTAGATTAGGTTCTTCTTTCATCAATTATTTTATTTCGATCAAACTTTTCATTAAGAAAGTTTTGTTACAGTACCTATATAATGAGATAAGATTAATGCTAGGGGCAATTTTTAGAACTAGTAAATCGAAAATATTTTATATATAAATAAATAGGAATAGTTAGGTACTTACGAGTTCTATCCTTATTCCAAGCGTGGCATGTTATCGGAGCGCATGAGTCACCGAAAGTTAACGTTTGAGACATTGTAAATTACTGCAAAAGATGAATTCATTAATAAAGATTATTAATAATGTAATACCGAATAATAAATTAAGAATGCATACCTAATTTTTTTCGCAATAAAATAGGATATTACGACCGGTAAAACTGCTCTACACGGGTAAACACAAGCAATCCGCGGACTCTGGTCAGTCTACGCGAATTCACGGAGAATTTACTTTATACCCTGTAATAATTACAGTTACCGTTTAATTATAGTACATACAAAGATTTATTAGTGCTATAAACATGTATCAAATTAATGATATACATTATACACATCACAAAATCAAATCACTAATTCGAGATTTTGACACTTTCGTTGACGAAAACTACGTCGACGACCTACCTCTATTTGACATGGTATTGAACCATAGATAAGCTAGTATTGAACTTTTAATCCATACATATCATGTGTCATGCCCAAACTAACTAGGGGTATAAATACAACCCAGTATACTGGCCAATGCAAATGACGTCATAAGTCGACGCCGTACTGGTGATTCATTTCAAAACAAATGGAACAAATGGAATAGACGCCTTTTTCGAGGTTATATTTACTAAATAAAATTATAACATCCTACCCTTGGGGGCGGGTTTGCTTCTCGCCGGATGATCCCAACGTTGTTGCGGATTCTGTTGCTGATGTGGTACTTCAGGGTATGGAACTATTTATTCCTTCCTCTGTGGTGCCCATTGGAGGCAAGTCTCAGCCATGGTTTGGTCGCTCCTGTAAAATAGCATCATGCTATAAGCAGGGAGTGCTACCAAGCCTAGGCTGATGCATCAGCGTCCCGGGATGTAAACACCAGCGCTCTAAAAAAAGTATAATTCCGCCTCTAGGTCCTTCAAAAGAGTCATTGCCAAGGCAAAGTCAGAGCACATAGGCAGAATTGGCGAGAAACTAGTTCGCCTTCCTTCTGGAACCCGTGCATTCTGGTCTCTCGCCAAGGCTGTCCAGGGGAATTTCTGTCAGCCATCTCTTCCATCTCTGCACAGGGAGGACGACTCACTGGCCCATATCGCAAAGGAGAAAGCCGATCTTCTAGGCTCTTTTTTTGCGTCTAACTCGACTCTCGATGACGGGGGGAGTACTCCGCCGACCATCCCGCGGTGTGAGTGTTCCATGCCGGAAGTGCACTTCACACAGCGCTCGGTTCGCAAAGCGCTCCTCTCCCTGGACATCCACAAGTCGAGTGGGCCTGACGGAATCCCCCCAATTGTGCTGAGGACGTGTGCTCCAGAGTTGGCACCGGTTTTAACACGTCTTTTCCGGTACTCCTACTCCCTAGGCGTAGTCCCAAAATCATGGAAGACGGCTTACGTCCACCCGATCCCTAAAAAAGGCGACCGCTCTGACCCGTCCAACTACCGGCCAATCGCCATCACCTCCTTGTTCTCCAAAACAATGGAGTCCATTGTAAACTGCCAGCTCATGAGGTACCTTGAAGATCACCAGCTGATTAGTGACCGCCAATACGGTTTTCGCCGAGGTCGGTCAGCTGGTGATCTTCTGGTCTATCTAACTCACAGATGGGCGGAGGCAGTAGAGTTCAAGGGGGAGGCATTGGCCGTTAGTTTGGACATTGCGAAGGCCGTCGATCGGGTTTGGCACAAAGCGCTTCTTTCGAAGCTCCCTTCCTATGGGCTTCCCGAGAAATTGTGCGATTGGATCACCAGCTTTCTTGCAGATCGGAGCATCAAGGTCGTTGTAGACGGTGCAAGCTCCGATTGCAAGCCTATTAATGCTGGTGTTTCACAGGGCTGTGTGCTATCGCCAACGCTGTTTCTTCTGCATATCAATGACATGTTGCATACCCGTAACATTCATTGCTATGCAGATGACAGCACTGGTGATGCTCTTTACACCGGCCGAGCCAATATTTCTCGGGAAAACGTCTCCGAGTGCCGGGACAAACTTGTGTCTGAAGTCGAGTCTCTGCTGGACAGAGTCTCGGATTGGGGGCGACTAAATCTAGTCCAGTTTAACCCCCAGAAGACACAAGTTTGCGCGTTAACCGCTAAAAAGAACCCCTTTGTCGTATCCCCTCAGTTTCAAGGCATTCCCCTTGTTGCCTCAGCCAGTATCGGAATCCTCGGCGTCGACATATCGAGTGACGTGCAGTTTCGTGGTCACTTGGAAGGGAAGGCCAAATTGGCCTCTAAAAAAGCTTGGCGTGCTCAGCAGAGCGGGACAGTATTTCATGCCGGCACACCGCCTGCAACTTTACAAGGCGCAGGTTCGGCCGCACATGGAATACTGTTCCCATCTCTGGGCTGGGGCTCCCCAGTACCAGCTTCTTCCACTTGACCGCATCCAGCGCAGAGCGGCTCGAATCGTCGACGACCGAGTGCTTTCCGATCGGCTCGATTCACTGGCGCTGCGAAGAGATGTTGCATCTCTTTGCGTATTCTATCGCTTCTATCACGGGGAGTGCTCTAAGGAATTGTTCGGGTTAATCCCAGCCGCCAAATTTCGTGAACGCACTACACGTCAAACGTCCCGATACCATCCACACCATCTGGATGCTTGGCAGTCCACCACTGTACGTTTCACAAGGAGTTTTTTTCCACGTACAACCTCTCTGTGGAATAGTTTACCACCGGCGATTTTTCCGGACCGATACGACCTGGGGACCTTCAAGAAAAGAGCTTACTCCTTTCTAAAGGGCCGGCAACGCACCCGCAATTCTCCTAGTGTTGCGGTTGATCATGGGCGGCGGTAGTCACTTAATATCAGGTGAGCCACATGCTCGTTTGCCCCCTCTTCTATATAAAAAAAAATTTAGATTTTAGAGCTACTGAGCAGTTCAGCAGCACACTTAAACCGTCGACAACTGCTAAGTTCATTTCATCCCAGTAGCTACTCCAGCGCTGTTGTGGAGAGTTTTTGAACTGTTATTTACTGCTTACAGATTTACAGATGGCCACTTTTTCAACTATTCTACTATGGTAGTTGGTACTCCTTACTTCTACACACCATAACTAGTAGACGTGGGCGTTATTTCACGTCACTAGATACAGTAAATGGCTACGCGGCATGTAACCGAATCACTAGTTTCGAGTCATGTTACAAGTAGTGATTTTTGTAAATGCGTGATTATGATTACTGTTAACCATGATTATTGCGGGAGGCGGGAGTCGACTGTCGGTCGCTCGAGCGCAAAGCGCGCATGTGGCGTACAACAATAAACAAACCATCGTAAGTAACAGTATTATTGTACGTTTAATTTTCATACGTAAGAATATAGACATAGACAATAAAATAGAGTAATCTCTGTTTGTAAATACTTTCAACGGTTTGCGATTCCGGGAAGCGAGTCACATTGAATTTAACTAAAATAATTTTTTAAACATTTTTGACGTAGTCATGAACTCGTTTATTCATAAAATTAAAATAAAACTAAAAATGTGTATAAAAATTTAAAAATTTTAATGTTTATAATATTATAAAACCTAAAAACTGTGTGAATGTGAAAAATTTATTTGTTTGTACAAATAAATTTTTTAAACAAACAAATAAATTAATTGTACAGTGTAAATAAAAGTGCAAAAACAAATGACAGTGAAAACATTGAAAAAGTGTAAATAAACTGTAAATATCAATAATCATTGTATATACCATCAAATTGACTTGTAAATATGCCTGCATTGATAATTTTATGAAAATATTAGTGTCATAGTAAACGCAAATCAATCATAAATACATTTAATGCAGTCTGTCCTAAACCTGAATAAAGTATGAAGGGAAGTTAATTTATTGATTTAACAGTATACAGTTACTGTATAGCTACAAACACAGATTGTGATTAAATTTATTTTCGTTTCGTTTGTAACTGTATAGTTGGTGGTGATATTTATGCAAACAATCACAGTAGCCGAATAAAAATAGCCAGCTACAAAAAATCACTAGTTTTGAAACAGGTGACGCCGATCAAGTCACTGGTTTCGTTACGTTTCTTGAAAATGACGTAACGACCCACGTCTAATAACTAGTATTATACTAGAGACGTAGACAGTAGGATTCCCTGTCTACGACTAAAGATGTTGGATGACAATCCAACTTGGATAGTGCTATTTACTCACGGCCACGATTCGCCATTACAGTCAGGTAAAGGTATTGGACCACACAGCCTAGCCTTAGTTGTATTTTGTTTGTAATTTTATTATTTTATGCCGATGCGATGCTTAATATAACCATTAAGGTAATTGTTAATAAAATGAAGCGGTGTAATAAATCACCCTTAGTGTGGATTACGGTATTATGTTTAAAGACCCTAAACATTCAAAACTACGCATTGATATCATACAGCCTATCCGACGCGTATCTTGTTCATAAAATTATACACAATAATTTGATTTTTGAAAGTTATTAGTATGAGCGAAATTTAATATTTCCATCATGTTCCTCCTATCTTTTTATAAAAACTGATATGGAATAAAGCAAGGCAGTTATTTTATTATTCAATATATTTATAACGCTTTAAATATATATATATATATATATATATATATATATATATATATATATATATATATATATATATATATATATATGGTTGCACTTTGCTGGCTGCACACTGCACATACACACACACTATTTTTGAAATATTAAATACGATTTAATATAACTTTGATATCTATACGTGGCAGACTCACGATAAAGCGCATCATATGTAGAGCACGAACGGATGGGTTCGATCAAAAACGGACCATAAGATTTTTAAAAAGAAAGTCAAAATCTACTTCAGAACTAAACAGAATTAAATAATTTTCACTTATTTTTATAGATCCTGAAACCGTGGGCTTTACTATATCATTATACTGCCGAGGACTACTTTTCTTTATAGTGGCGACCGAAAAAATTCACGGGATGTTATGGGTAGCCATATTACTCCCTGAGCGTCGTAATAGGCAACAGAGGAAATTAAAAATATCTAAAACCAAACTAAATGTGTGTGTGTGCGTGCGTGTCCTCTCTCTCT